CTCTCTCTCTCTCTCTCTCTCTCTCTCTCTCTCTCTCTCGCGCGCGCGCATCCATCTTTTTTTTTTTGCCCGTTCTTTTCTGTGTTTTCTTTGTTTTCGTATTTCATTGTTTTTTTTTTCGGTTTTCGTTCTAAATACCCTTTGTGTCATGCCGACAGTACCGGGGCCCGGCCTTCAAGCAGCGACCGGGCCTTCCCTTGGCCGACCCCCGAAGGTGTCGGCACGTTAACGGGAAAGGCCTGCATCCGATACCTGGGCCAAGTACTGGTGGCTTAAACGTTGCTTTGATCTCTGGATCCGGCATGATTTCCCCATGGAATTGAGCTCCGGTCCTTTCTGTCCAAATTACCTAAAGCCTACAACTCTGATTGCCTGGGCTACGTATCCCCACCCTTTTTGAAGCTGCAGGTGGCCTGGGACGCCCCCCAATAAGACCCATTCTTTGTCCCGGATCAGTATCTCCCCTGTGATCTCCTTCCAGTACACTGCCCACCAGTTCCAAATCTGTTGCAAGGCAGAGCAGTCCCACCAAAGGTGAGTCGTTGATTCGAACATCCAAAGACAACATTTGCACTAAGTATCCATGTCCATTCCTCTACTGAATAACCATACTGCTGATGGTGTCGCCAGGAGTGACATTAGCCATAGAATTGTTGTCGCCCTTGGGTGTGGTGGATCAGCTAACTGCTTCCACCATCTTTGCAGAGCCCAACCAATCTTTTCTGCCTCCTCAGGTATGATCTGGGTCCATCTTTCCGTGGCCACCGCCAGTGGCGTTCGGGCAAGGGCTTGAATCTCGCATGCTACCTTCAGGGAAAATTGATCCAGTGGAAGGCCTTCCCCCTGTTTGCCTCTGCCTCTCCATGTCCATTGGTCCAGGTCTGCTTTCCTCAAAACTAATGGCAGTCCCCTATTCCACAACGTAACTTTCCATATCCCTTTCTCATCCAACTGTTCCCGAACTTTGATTTTTTGGATGGGGGCCTCGGTATCGTGATGGTTCCCTCCTCCTCCTTACATTGTTTGAGCTCTTCGCTTGTTGAGGCCTCTTCCCATTGCTGGAATGTCCTTCTGCTATTTGACTGCATGAACTTCAGAAATCTCCTATCTCCTTCCTAGTTTGTCGTTGCATACCATGTCCCTGGGGGATTATATCCCTCAGGCCGCATTAGCCATAGCCATCTTTCGGGCAGGGCTTCCCTTATTTCCCGCAGGCGTTCCTCCAGATATCTACAACCCTTGAGTTTCCAAGCCATTTCCTCTGTCAAGCACCATCTCCCTAGCATGTCATCCCACAGGTCTCTTATGCGAACCACCCCCTTTTCTACCCATGACCTCCGAAAACTCCCAGGGGCCGTATCCGCCATAAACAACTGGTCGTTTCGTTTCCTGATGAGAGGATTCTCAAAGATTATCTGAGATAGGACCTCTTCCTTCAAGTTCAGTTGTTTGACTGTGTCCGGTTTCACCTTCCTCCAAGCTAG